AAGAAGGGATTGTGGTGTGGCCATCCCCTAAGGGGTGATTTCTCAATTTTCCTCTCACTATCTCTCACTTTTTCTCTATAGCAAGTACATGCATACTATGGCCAAAACAAAAACAAAACAAAACTAAAAATGGAGTCCAAGCTTAATGTGAGCATCAGTATTACTTCTTTTCTTTCATTCATTCATTCATTCTTTCTTTCTTTTTTTTTTTTTTTTTTTTGAGAGGTTTTTGCTATAGGGCACGTGTGCTCGCCAGAAAGAGAGAGACAGAAAGCAAGAAATCACCTCCCGGGGGGATGGCTACACCACAATCCCTTCTCCTCCATTCTCCTCTAGGGATCTTGGACACACACACACGTCCAGCATGAGTTTAAGCCACTGAGTCCAGGACTCAAACCGTGGTCAACTACATGGGAGTCCAGCAACATAGCTATTACCTGCCAGTCTCTCAAATTCATTCTTAAAAATCCTTTTTCTTCATTTGTTCTTCCCCTACATAAGCAGCTAGTCAGACCGAATGCCACTTGCAGGATCACCAGCTCTAGACAATAGCGCCAGCACCGAGTGGCATGAATATGGTAGACCAACAGAGTCCATGGGTCCAGCATTAAGCTGGACACAGTCAACTATCTGGCTCCAGACACAGAAGGGCATGACACCATTACAAACACACACGCACATGTATGCACACAAACTTTTTTTCTCTCACTCTACCCCACCTTGCACACACTGTTCACAAACCACCCGCTCAGGGATCCAACAATCTCAGCTCACATCTTGGGCCTGCACTTGTGAGAAGGCTGCCTCCAGAGAAGTGGCTGGTTCCATCATTTGAGATGACCCGAGACCTGGATGGTGGCAACGAGCTGGAATTTCTTGCTCTCTGTTTACGTAAGTGACCTAGAAGAAAAACACCCCCAGCATGAGATTCTAATACCAAATGAGAGTCTGATGAAGCAATCAGTCCACCCAAGAAGGAGATTCGGCTTAAAATGGACCATCCAGTCCCAACACACGCCTATCCCACAGTGCCACTGTCTGTTCTGTGTTTGTCTTGCAATTGAGAGATGACAGACAGGAGCTTATTTTTCTCTGAACTCTTTGTTCTCTGGGTTTTATTCTCTTGCCATTTCAGCGGCAGCGTCTGCTCTCCCACGATGAATCAAAGCACGTGGTGTTCACAGTTCACTGACAAGCAGATTCTTATTCTGAATCTCTAGAATGCTTCAAAATCTAACCTTGGCCTTGCATTGTTCAAGCAAGGGCTTGTGTGCACTTGTGCATGCAAGACAACCGATTCCACACCCACGTGAAGGTGCAAGTGCCTCCATAAACCAGAATCTTCACTGGCATTGTTTTCGTAGTAGCAGCCCTTGGAGAGGAGCTGTGCAGCCTTAGAAGTGTGTCCGCGGAGGACACATGACACCACTCCTCCCTCCCCACAGAGAGGTGCCCTCTGCCACTCCCCTTCCCCAGTCACTGTATCTCTACCTTAGTCTCACCCAGCTTTGTGGCCCCTGCAGCACTCACGCCATCCCCCACTCTGCCTGCTTCTGGAGAACGAGTGTCTAGAGTAAGACATGCTCAGACTTTTCTGTTGCTTCTTCCTATTAAGAGACCCTCTCTCTTGGTCCACCGGCCATTGCCCACTTCTGCTCCGCATCTTCACAGAAGTTTTCCATCTTCCCTTTCAAATTAAAGCATAAGATCTTCAAACTGAGGCTGCTCAAAGCATATTATCTTGGCCTCCAAAGGCTATTTGTCCCTAAGAAAGGGTACTGATGTCAGTGCCCCTCTGCACAGATGTTTACATCGCATGACCTGTTTTATCTTCCAGAGTCTAAGGAAAACAGGATCTGGGGCAAGACAGGCACTCACACTCGCATATCAACCCATTAGTTTGTCTTCTCACCCTACATCACTACAAGTTAGAATGATCCATGTCCTCAAGGAGTTCCCAGATTTGTGAGAGAAGATGGCAGACAATAAGCAGGATAGGTCAGGGAGGGTGCTGGCTGGGCAGGGAGGCTACTACAGCCTAACCCAGGGCCCAGCTACACTTGCGTCCACATTGTCTCCTTCCATGTGAAACAACAGCAAGGAGCAACCATTTGGGCCAGCAGGTCTTGGCAAGCTGTCACATATAAGGACCTACTCTAAAAGAACCAAGCCTCTCAGTCACCCAGTAGGAGAACACGAAGCACCTCTACTCATTGGAGGGCAGCAGTGGATACATCCCACATGCAGGGAAAGCTCAGGATCTTCTGTAGCTTCCACGGCCACCTTAGTCTGATAGCTCGTGGTTCCCCGAATCAAATCAGGAGGCCTTTGGTCCATCCACATCTGACTGAGATGAGCACTGGGCTATTTTAAGCCTGGTAATGTACAACACTCCAAGAGATAGAAAGACCCAGCAAACAGTTACAAGGTTAGGATCGGGCCCAGATAGCTCACGGGAGCAAGAGTATGGGCTCTCAGGAGCTAAAGACGACAATCATCACCGAGGGTGAGACCAGCAGGATCACATGGATCACCTCAAGGACAAGGGACACTCTGGGTTTCATTACCATTTTCTCTTACCTTTATTCTTAGAGTGTTGATTTGTTTAAAAATGAACAGGCTGGCTTTACATCTGCATGCTTGCTCAAGTAGGGCACAGGTGGCAAAGACTGTATCTCATCAGGGTATGATTTACAGTCTTAAGTTGGTACGGATCTTCCTCCCCTTCAGCAAGACAGGTTGCACTGGGACCAACACATGTGCTACAGGGGCATAAATCCCCTGCACACACACAGGGCTCCTGATGCTGAAACAAAGCATGCCGCCACTAAGTGTCTGACCCCACAGCTCGGTCACTTGTGGAAGTCCATCACCAACCAGTTCCTTGAAGGGTGTGGTTTGCTGACATAAGTTCCCTGAGAACACAGACACGACATGGGAACCACCTGCCCTGACCCCAGGAGACCTGCAGAACACAGTGACAACAGATTCCCTCTGAACTGTCATCCTAGCTCACAGCCGTGATCACTGGAATAAAAGAACACAATATGGCTCTTGTGATCCCCACATGACAAAAGCTAGTTGAAAGATGGTGCAGAGGCTGCTGAGGTCAAAGGCCTATCTGGGAGGAAGCACTGCTGAGCGGGAGGAAGGTCCTCTCCCTACTGTCAGATTCGCAGGAGCCCTGGGAGGAGCAGGCTGCCAGTACCTCTGTCTGCAGCACACACATTCTTGCTTGGCCTCAGATGGGAACCGCAGGGTAGAGGAGGGACAGGTCCAGCCAAGGCATGGCTTCATCCCGCTGCTCTCACCCTGAAGGCTCCCACGGCCATCATCCAATTTGCTGGCATACGCCTGCTGCTCCACCATAATGGCCAGCTATATAAAGAAGTAAAAGTCATAACACTTTGTTTTGCTTTTTTTTCCAAAAAATGCAAAATTTGTACAGGAAACCCAAACGTGGCTGCACTGATACACAGTGTGCTGCGTGAGGCATTTGTCCTTTGTTAGAATCCCTCCCCTCTCCCGTCTGCACTGGAGTCTCTCAAGCTGGCTATCTCAGACTCTCTTTCCCATGAGCTTATCTCTCTCTTGCAGGCAAAGTATGAAAATGACAATTTAAGATAACATATAATGGAGCCAATCTTTCTTCTGAAGATAAGATTTTAAAACCTGGAGTCACTGCACATTCGTGGGCTGGTGAATTAAATATAAAAATAACCAACACAGTCTCAGAAGCAGAATGCTTCTTGCAACTCCCTTAGTCGTATGAGCCTTTGAATAATGTCTGCTTCTCACACGTGGCTCATTTATTTCTCCAGAACCTAATTGAGTTTTGCTGTTTCCATATTGTCTATTTTCCAGGCTGCCTCGGATTTTACATTTGTAAACAAGCAGGCAGAAACCTCCACCCAGACTTAATGAGCTGTGTGCTTGCTCCTCTGCCGCAGCCACGGCTCTGCCAGTCTCTGTGCTGTCGGCATGAGGCGGATGTGGCCCATGGGGCTCCAGGGTCTAAAATCAGGCTGGGTTTTGAGGAATGGAAAATTCCCTAATAAGATGACAGAGAGGGCTGAGTCTCATCCAAACTGTACAGCTCCAGAAACCTCAAATGGCTTGGTTTTTGTTGTGCTTTCAATTTTGCCCAGAAAAATCCCAAACTGTCCAGGGTACCCTTAAGGAAGATTCAGAGAGTTTGTCACTAACCCTACAGGGTTCCGTTTGACCCTCTGCCCTGTGGGTTCACAGACAGGAAATACCAAGTCCACATCCCACAACCGTTCTGCCCATCACCCCCATCAATAGCCCCTGTTAGTCAAAGCCTCTGGAACATCCCAGGCTGGACTATCCTGAACCATTCTCAGCCCAAATGCCTTCTCACCACTGGCCCCAACAAGTGGAAGGAAGAAAGGCTGGGCTTTGCTTAGTCTCTCACGAGCAACTCTTGGGACACCACTCGATGTAGGCCTTAGCACTAGGCTCAAAGAAATGCATGTCTCCATTTGCCTACTTCCCAAGCTATAGGAAAGCTGAGGAATGCTTCCTTCTCCCCTGATGAGGCAATTCTGTGAGCTGGTACTCCAGATGAAATCTCTCCTGTAACCTCAGTCACTTTATTTAAAGATGTCACAGAGATGCCCCAAGGATAGCACAAAGAAACAAAATGTAAGTGACCCTGAGATGACTAATCATCTCGACTCTTCATCAGGAATCAGGAATACTTAGCAACTGGTGCCAGGACAGACTTTCAGTAGTCAGGCTCTTAGATCTGGCTGACTTCCTACCAAGTATGTGATGCCCATGATAACCACTGCCCTGAGGGAGCTCACACTCTGCTTGAGGAGAGGAGGGCAAAGCTGCCAAGACTCTTACCCACGTTGGCCAAGGTCATGTGCAGCCGGCCCTTCACCACCGTGTGGACACCAATGGGCTTGACGCTGCCAAACCCAGCCACGTCTCCGCTCAACACCATCATGTCCTGTTCATATTCAGTTGCCATAACATCGAGCTCCAGCGACACCTGCACAGCTGGCCGCCCCTGGCGCAGGAGATGCTGCAGAGGAGAAGTTGCACTTAGAAGCTGCAGGCAGTCATGGCCACTCCCAGGCAGTCCTGCAGGCAGAAGTAGCTCCAAGCCCTCCAAGAAAGGCCACTGAGGAGCTGGAGAGGATGCATGGGAGGACAGGAACCAACCCTGTACCACAGGGAGAAGAGACCAAAGCAGAAGCCAGCTTCTACAGCCTGGGAGTGCCTAATATCACATCTTTTCATAAATTCTTTAATGAAGTACAACACAATTCACCCACTGAATAAACACCATTGGGCAATGGGAACACAGAGATGGGCCTGGCAGCTGCCTTCTAGGAGACACCTCCATAGGGGGAAACAGGGAAAAGGAGGGCAGCAGACAACACAGCGACAGAGCCATGCCCATCTCGTGGGACAGTGAGAATGCTCTGAAACAAATCTGAACTACAGCAGAGATGCTGGGAGGCAGACAAGCCAAAGGAGTAGTGAGCATCAGTATGAATGAAGGATGGGCCCATGGGTTCAAAGGCGGGCCTTCAGCATAAGGGGACCTACTAGAGCACTGGGCTGAGGCCAGATCAGGAGGATCTCCATGAGAAGCTGAAGCTGGTCAGAGCAGGGTGAGAACAGGAAGATCCCAGATCCAGGACAGTATTAAAAGGAATTTCACGGTCAACTTCAATCTCTCAGTCCTCTGCCTAAATCCGAATATGTATGAGGCATGCTTGCAGGTTGACAGTGAAATCTCTTGCTGGCACACTCTTCACTGTGTGGCCTTGGGAAAGTCACTTGCTCTCTCTGGACTACATCTTACACATAAACAGAAATGTGGGACCTGATTAGGTTTCCAGCTTTTGTCATTCTCAAATGTCTCATACGGTAATGTAGAAGAGGAGACACTCAGACCTAACCCCTCTCCTAGGAGATCTAGGGCTTCCAGATGCTTCAATTCCTGCTAGTTGAGTGATGTTTGTCGGAGCTGTCTACATACACTGCATACCCATCTACGGTTCAGGAACCTCAGGTACTGGATACATGAAGAAAGTCCAGGAAGCACAGACAATGTTCAGCCTCACCAAGGAAGCAAAAAAATAAAATTAAGACAAAGTATCATTTCTTGCCTATCCAAATTGCAAAGATTCTTTAAAACAGCTCAACTCCCATAAAGGCAAGTATGCGGCAGCATAGGGCACCCTCTTGCCTTCAGGAGGCGCAGGCCTCGCCAGGCCTGGAAGGCTGTGCCCCATCTGGCTCTGCACACCTGCAACTCCATTTCTGCCCAGCTCAGGACTCAGAACCCCACATCTGGAAATAGGCCATTTGGGGAAGAACACATGGTAAGGAACAGAGCCTTTGAGGCAGAATTGGGCTAAAACCCAGCTCTGATTATTATAAACATGACCCCAGGCTCGGTTTTCCTCACTGGAAATGAAGGTAACAACAGGATTATCCCAAAGAGCTGAGCAGAGCTGAGCTGAGGACTAACGTTAAATGAAGCGTGTGAGCATTCTACCACTGGAGCTACTGTTCTGACTGCTGGAACAACATGTTGGTGCCATTACCCTCAGGAAATCAGCTGGAAGACGGGTGCAAAGTGTAGCTCTGAGATGTTCATTGTTGTGATAAAAAGAGAGGAAAATAGGGACCAGCAGATGGTGTGGTGGTTAAGGGCACTGGACTCCCACATAGCTGACCGTGGCTTGAGTCTTGGACCCGGTGGTTGCTTCCTCACTTTTCCTTTCCCTTTCCCTCTCTCTCTCCCCACTCCCCTCCCCCCGCCTCCCTCTCTGGTCAAATTAAAATAAATAAATAAAATAAAGTTAAATATAGTAATTCTTTAAAAAAAAAAGGGGGGGGGGATAACTTGGGTGTCTGACAACAAAGAAGAGGTAGAAAATAAATGTATCAAAGGATAAACAGAGCATGTTAACCATCTCAGGACCTCGAGTTACAGGAATTAGTTCTTATCTCAGCTTGTCATCCTTTCTACCTAAGTTGTAAAGGTAAAAGAAGTTAAATTTTTAAAAAGTAAAAATTTAATTTCATCAGTCTGTCAATATAATAAATATGATTCTTTATGTAAGGGGCTCTTCAAGTAAGGAAGAAATCAAGTAACTTCTGTCTCCAGGTATGACAGCCAAGAAAGGACACAGGCGTGGGGTATGAAGAGGGTCACAGTGGCGTTCCTCTGCCCTGCCCATGCCCCCCGCATGGCCGGCTGCCTGCCTGCCTTCCTCCATTTGCTCCTTCACCACACTTAGCACCAGACAGGGCTTAGGGCTGTGCTGGAGAGGCAGCAGTAACAACACCCCAAACCTGCCCTTGGGGACATTGAGGCCGGGGTGGGAGACAGACAAGCACTGGCCACAATGACCTCATGGGCCCCATGACCCTGATGAGGAGACCAGGGTGGAGAATCAGAAGAGCAGCTAAGAGCCACCCCTGAACTTTTCCGATGTGCCCCCCACACCCCGAGCACTCTATGCTCCCTTCCCCCCAAGTCCCTCCCTCGTCCCCTAGAGAGAATCATCCATCTCAAGGATGTGGACACTGAGGTCCAGGGATGCTGAGTCACCAGGTGGGTGATAAGGCTGGGGTCAGTCAAAGGGAGGGAGGAAGGAGCAGGCAGAGCCTCAAGGAGGAGGAGCATATGGGGGACCTCCACAACTGCGAGGAGGAAGGAAGGCAGACTGCAAGCCTGATTGCAGAAGCTGGAACTGGAGCACTGTAAGAGGACCTACGCTCCTCGGTGATGACGCAGCCACTGCGGGCGCAGAGCTAAGGCGGGAGACCGAGGAGGCTGGCTGACGGGAGCGCAGGAGGAAAGCAGCTGCATGGGAGTGCAGAAAAGTGGGTGAATTTAAGAGATTCGGGAGCTGCAATCATGGTGCTACCCTCTCCCACATCCACCCCACGGGTCGGGAGGCAAATCCTCAGGACATCACACCGCACTGGCTATGTCCGTCCTGCAGGAAAGCCACTACCTTCATCTGAACAGCAGCAGATCCGATGAGAAGCAAGGAGTCCCCGTCCCAGACGTCAATCTGCAGGGTCTGCACAGCCAGGTAGTGGATGAACCAGCGCTGCTCACCGGGCTTCAGGAACTCGGGGTCCACCATGTACTTCAGCTGGAGGCCAGGAGACCCTGTGCAGGGAGGTCCCAAAGCGTACACTGTAATTGGAGCCATCCGTCATCTTTACGCCTTGGAGAGAGTTCCACTCTGGTCATGATTACTAATTCCTCCTTCTGTCATCGCTACAGCTAATAAACACATTAATCAAAACATCATAAAATATCCAAATTAACAAACGCAGAGTACATTTCTTTTCAATATATGTAACAAACTCCTCCCAAAATAAGATTTATGGGTTTCACCAAGTCCTTGTGAAGCAGTCTATGATGGATGGGAACGGTGCCATGATGAGGCTCGCTGAGGAGTTTATTATTCTGCGCACACAGAATTTAAGGAGAAATGTGGTCGACACCTCCTGTCAGAACTGGGACGTTCACACACACAGGCAGGGCTCACACTGAGATCGAGCTTGGAACGTGCCACCTGGATGTGCCACCAGAGTCCCGTCTGTGTCCTAACTCAGGGCGGCACTAGCCCCGTGGGGCGCACAGGTGCTGCACTGTAGGGCACTCCTGGCTCTCAGGCTGAGAGGGGAGTTGGACTGCAGCTGCTGCCTTCACCTCTTGACATGGCATTGTCATTAATTCTAAATTGACAAAAATGCCACTGAAATCATCATTTTTTTTTACCAGCCATGCTGAGAAATATTTGAAACCACATTTTCTTCTCTTCTATCAATAACAGTAACAATATTTATGAGGCCCCAGTGAGCACAGCCCTAATTCTAGGGAGGAAGGGGCAAGAGTCTGCTCCGCACCTCCAGGGCCAGGCTCTAGCCATTCTGAGATTTATAGACGGTCTGGCCACAGAGTCTCCCCAGCCTAGCCCCCAGGGTGGACCACACAATATCTCATCTGCTTTCCTCAAGACCAGGAGACAACGCTGTAGTCAGAGGAGTGAATGAATGGGATGGGACAGAGACACAGTCTGAGACCCTGGGCAACAGCACTGGCAAGCTAAGGTGGGGTGGGGAGTGGAGGACTCTAGAGTGGGCCCATGGGAAATGGAGGGAGGACCAGCTGCTTAGGCCTAGCTCTGGCCATAAGAGGAGCTTCAAAGGGCATCTCATAGGTTAGAAAAGCAAGCAAGGAAAACGGGACAAAGACTGAGGAGGAGCTGGCAATAAATATCTCACAATGGCAGGCATGTCTGCATCTCAGAGATGACCAGACCAAGTCACCCACTACCTTCTACCACAGCCAGCTCTGAGGACCGTGGCAGATGGTTAGAGCTTGGGACACACCCACATGCAATCAGGAGTTCTGAGGCAATTCTCAGAAGCAAAGAGGGCCCTGCAGCAGACCTCTGAATGCGGAAGCCCAGGCTCTCAGTACTAACTGCACAGCTCCCACCTGGGAACCGCCTGGGCTACAGAGGAATGAGCAGCACAGAACCACCCCCATAACCCTCAACAAGCCACACCTCTGCAGCCAGCCTTCCAAATGACACCCTAGGCACTCTGCACACCACCACCTCAGCCTCTCCTACACCCCTCCTCCTCCATCCAGAGTTCTATGCCCTGAAGCAGTTCATCCCAGCTGGATATTCTAGCTTCTCCTCCAGCCACCTACTCCCAACATCCTGCAGGGCTCCCCACAACTCCCTGTCCAGGTGATCGCGCAGCTCCCAGTGGCCATCCTGAGTGTAAAGCTCCCCACAGTCTACCCTACAACACCGCCGAAGCTCCTACTGGAGGAGCCCTGTATCATCTCCATCCCACTCAGAAGTCTGTGATGGCACCAACACCAACTGAGCTAAGAACAGGTGCCCAGGAACAGGGACACCTCCCTTCCCAAGTTTCCTTCCCTCAGTCCCTTCACGAACACCATGTCCAAGCCAGCTGGAAATCTTCCTACAGCCTCAATCCAGCCCCAACCCCAGGGCCAGGTCTGAGCAAATGTTCTTGCCTCTGACAGCCAGCCTTCTTTCATCCCCTTTCTCAATCACTGTTCCATTGTGATTCAAACACCTCCTGTTTTGGGCAAGTACCCAAACTCGTGGATGATCAATACTTTATAATACTAACATGTACCATTCATAAAGGCTATGTAATAGGGCCAACAGATGGCGTAGCATTTACATCACTGGACTCCTACATGGCCAACCATGGTTGAGTCCCAGACCAGGAGGCTTGAAAATCATGCCGGGCACGTGTGTGTGCGCCCAAGATCCTGGGAGGAGAATGGAGGAGAAGGGATGGCACATGACCATTCCCCCCAGGGGGTGATTTCTCGCTTTCCCTCTCACTGTCTCTATCTCTCTCTCTTTCTCCAGCAAGCACACATTGCACGCACCCTAAGGTAAAAAACTCTTTAAAAAATAAAAAAGGTGTGTAATAGATATCAAAATACATTCCAAAAAACAGAGATAATACAAGTCATGTTCTCTGATCAAAATGCAATAAACTAGAAATCAGAAACAAAATAAAAATAAATTTTTTAAACTTACTCATTAATAACTTTATGTCAAAGGGCAAACAATCAACATAGGAGAGTTCCTATTTTTAGAAACAATAATAATGAAAATACTACTTACTGGAATAAAACACACATATACACAAAGCAGTAATTAACAAAAATGCACAGCCTTGGGAACTCTATGTTCATAAAAACAAAAATAAAGATAAATGAATTAAGCAATTCAAAAATAGAAAGTAACAATAAAGAGAAGGGGGGAGAGTGAGGAAAGGAATCAAGGAGAAAAATAGGGAGGCAAGACATTTACGGGGACACAGAAATGGATGATTATCTGTTGATGATAATGTGTGTAGTATATTCAACTGGACTGGTGTGAAGTATATTTATGTTGGGTAAATTCATTTTACAAGTTAAGTGATGTATAGTGATTGGATATATAAAATAAATTAAAATTTTTAAAATAAGAATACCAAAAAAGAAAAGAGGAAAAAGTAAAGACAAATACAAAATTTAATTAATTAGCGATCAAGAAAACTGAAAAACCTATATGAGGTAAACTTAAAAACTCCTGGGAAAGACACAAAAGTAGGAAGGAACAAATAGAAAGGCCTCCTTGTTCCTGCACAGGGCATCTCCTACCATCCAGGTGTGAATTCTATGTTAACCTGTACAGTTAGCAGACTCTCAACACAGACAATAATGAGTTTCTAAGAGAAACAACAACAAAAATATCCAGGAAACCCTGTAACAAAGAGCAGTGTGGTGGGGGCCATATTAGAAATTAACATGACTCTAACACCTCTGACTGAAGTGATGGCCAGACACAGCATAACTGAAGTCAGCAAACTACAGCCCATTAACCAAATTTAGTCATAAACTAAGAATGGTTTTACATTTTTAAATGGAGGAGAAGAAGGAGGAGGTGAGGAGGAGGAGAAGGAGGAGAAGAAAGAGAAGAAGAAAATATAACAGAGACCATATGTGGCCCAGAAAACCTAAAATATTTATCACCCAGCCCTTAACAGAAACCAGTTTGCCAACCTCTGGTCTAATGGAACAAAATAGAAAATCCAGAAATAAGCCCAAGTACTTAAAAAAGTTTACTATGTAATAATGGCGGCTCTCAAGTCACTAGAGACTTTTTTTTTTTAAGAGGTTTTTGCCTTACGGCATATGCACTTGCTGGAGAGAGAGAGAAACAGACACAGTGAGGGGGAAAGTGAGAAATCACCCCTCAGGGAGATGGCCACGCACAATCCCTTCTCCTCCATTCTCCTCCTGGGATCCTAGTTGCACATGTGCCCAGTGTGATTTACAAGCCACTGGATCTCGGACTCGAACCACAGCTGGTCATGTGGGAGTCCAGTGACATAACTGCTACATCATCTGCTGGTCTCAAAATCTGACTTTTTAATACATGGCATTGGGTCAACATCTAAAAAAGATAAAATAAAATCTATACTCCCATGGTAGAGAAGAAAAAACTAAATAGATCAGGAATCTAAATATTAAAAAGGAAACCTGCAAGTCCTCAAAGAAAATATGCCTAAATCTCCTTATAAAGTCGAAACAGAGAGAGCCTGTCTAACTATCAAGTGTCTAGATGCAATAAAATAGAAATAAAATTTTCACATAGCAAAACTCACCATAAGCAAAGTAAAAAGATAAAATAGACAATGACAAAGTAGAAAAAGTATTTGCAATTTACATCAGATACAAGGGTTAATCCCCCTAATAAATCGTTTGCAAAATAGAGGACAAACAGGCTAAAAAACCAGACAGAAAAATGGAAAGAGATATGGATAGCAATTTTCAGATAAAAAATAAATAAATATAAGATGCTCAATTTCACTTATCATAAGAGAAATGTAAATTAAAACTTCACAAAAGTTTATTTTACCTCTATCGAATAGTACAAATCTCAAATGAAAATCTCTTTAATGACCCACTTTGACAGCCTCATGCGCTGCCAGGCAAGCGCAGTGGAGTAACCCTCTGACTAAAGTGTTGGACAATGTTTGTTGCCATCAGTGAAGCCTTTGGTCCTAGAGTCCCAATTCTAGAACTAGAAATGCAAAGCTACCCATTGTTGCATTACTTAAGATAACAAAATACCAGAAATGACTCAAATGTCCATTAAGTAGGAGACTGGTTGAATAAACTACAGAACATTCATCGAAAGATTGCTATACAGCTATAGAAAAAGAAGGTGATGGTTTCCATATGGAGTGAACTTCAGGATACACTGTTAACTAAAAAATAAGGTGCAAATAAGGATAGTTGTTATATTACCCTACTAAGAACAAAGGGTTAAAAAAAATACAAATATTGGTTTATTTTGGGGGGAAAAAAAAAAACACTAGAAGAATAAACCAGGAACTAAAAACCTGGTTACCTTTAAGAGCATAAACAGGAAGGATAAGCTAGAGGACATAAGGATGGCGGGGAGCCTCGAATGCTCACTTGAGTATGGTTTTATAAGTTGAGCCATGGAAATACTCCAAAAAAGTTAAATCAGAAAAGGAAGGAAAGTACACATGAAAAACAAACAAACAAACAAACAACTAAAATCAATCTTACTGAATATTAAATTG